AAGGCCTGTCACAGGCCCGAAACTCACGGTAGCTCATCGACAAGCACGCCTTCAATTTGCTCGTACCAATCTTAATTGAGAGGTTGAGCAATGGAGGCAAATCCTGTTCTCCGACGAGAGCAGGATGTGTTTGCATGGTAGCGACCGAAGAGGTTGGGTCTACAGGCGGCCTGGGGAGCGATTTGCGCAGTGCTGTTTCGCTGAAACAGTGGCTTATGGGGTCGGCTCTTGTATGATGTGGGCCGGCATTTCCTTCGACGGTAAAACCGAGCTTGTTTTCGTGCCTGGCGGGGGACGAGGAGGCGGTCAACTTCGGACGGGTACATTTCCAATATTCTGCTGGAACATGTCGTTCCCTATGCGGGATATGCCGGTGATAGCTTCCTCCTTAAGCACGATAACGCTCGTTGTCACACTGCCCGTGGAACAACTGAATACTTCGAAGAAGTCTATATCGCCACATTGGACTGGCCTGCGCTCAGCCCTGACTTGAATCCTATTCAGCACGTGTGGGATGAACTGAAGAATAGGGTTCGTTCCAGAACTTCTGCTCCTTCATGCCTGAATGAGCTGAAATCGGCGTTGATTGAGAAGTGGGAAGGTATCCCACAAGAATCAATTCAAAAGCTGATCAGGTCTATGAAGAATCGTCTTCGAGGAGTTATTAGGGCAAGGGAAGGGAACACAAAGTACTGACATTTAATTTTAAGGCTAAATAAAATTTTTATTTATTAATTTTTGTTGTTTTATGCATTCATTATTTTTCCATATTTCCTTTGTTTCCTACCTCCTTCACTTAATCCGGAATAGCTCCTTAACTACTGGCTCGATTTAAATGAATTTGGTATCAGTTTAAAGTTAAGAGTTCAACCTTTAAAATGATCTCATTTTTATGATTATCAAAAAAATATTTAGCACACAAGATCGCGCGGAATCAATTTCAAGTAAGTGATTCCAAACTTTTGCTCGCGAGTGTATTTAACCTTAGCTTAATATAAACTGCATGTAATTACAGAATTGCAATAGAAATATAAGCGTTTCATTTTAAATGACTATCCATTCAACATTCTAGGATTTTCATCTGTGTAATTTGCGTCGGAAACGTCCACGCGTAAACACCCAGACCCCGAATACCACAGAGAGTCAGACCTGAATCACATGATAGAAATCGTCAGGACAGTGGACAAGAAAATTGTTATAACATAAAACAGAACTATTGAAGTTTCTTGAATCGTGCGTCAGTCAAAAACAGACGACGAAGACATTGCATGGCATTCAATAAAATTTATTTTAGGTGTTTACATAGATCATTCACAAATTTACATAAAAGTAAGAGGATGGCTATATATGATTTGGATGTTGTAATTTCATTGTTAACTAGTTATTACTATCTGTTCGGCCGTAGCCGGGATAACTCTTTAGGCTACTAGCGAAGAAGTAGGGAAAAGAAATTGTTATTAATAGCTTTTGTTCACAACTATACTTTTTTATAATTAGAATAATAGGAAAAATGACGCTAAAGTACACAAATTAGTGACCAGACACTTTTTAAATTTATTTGAAAATATATAGAACCTGGAATCATCTCGACTTAGCTTTTAATAGTTTATTGAAAATGTGATTTTAAAATAACTATACAGTATGAGAAGGCTGCGTTTAAAAACTTATTAGTGGGTAAGTTGGAAGAACCAAATACAGCAAAATCCTAAATACAATTGTATTTTATGCTTGTTGTAATTAATTAAATAATAATACTGAAAATTACTGTGGCATAAGACGTAATAATAATAATAATAATAATAATATCATCTTCTAAAGTAGGTAGTCCAAGCTGTAAGTATATATAAGTATAGTTTAATAAATATATGAAAATAATCTGTTTTAGCTGTTGTGTTGTTGATAAGATATATATTTTTAAAATTAGTAAAACGAAAGTCGAAAATAATAAACGCGAGGTTAAAGCGTAAAGTCAGTTTTAATTAAATAAAGAAAAANTAATAATAATAATAATAATATCATCTTCTAAAGTAGGTAGTCCAAGCTGTAAGTATATATAAGTATAGTTTAATAAATATATGAAAATAATCTGTTTTAGCTGTTGTGTTGTTGATAAGATATATATTTTTAAAATTAGTAAAACGAAAGTCGAAAATAATAAACGCGAGGTTAAAGCGTAAAGTCAGTTTTAATTAAATAAAGAAAAAATACTTTCGTTGTTTTAATTAATTTAATGTTTTAAGAACTTACGTCATTAAAGTAGACTTGCTCCAACCGCTGGCGTGTTTTATTCGCTTTACTGTATTCAGGCAAGCTAGATTGTCGCCGCATACGCATTTTTTGCTCCCGATCCATTGTCATTAAATCAGACTTTTGAGACAACACTAAATAGTGCAAACGATGTACTAAATCCATATTGAATTTATTTGCCAAAAGCAATTTTTCTTCGTTTTTTTTTGTATGAAAAAGGAATAAAGGTTCAGAACATAATTTAGCGAGCAAATTTTATAAACAAAACAAAGCAAGCATTATTTATTCTTTAAATGTAGTTTCCACAAAATATTCAAATTGTATTCACACAAAATATTCTGTAAATTGGTTTCTTTATACAAAGGATTTCAGAGAAAAATAAAATTAAATGACAAGCTAGAAGTCGCGTGCGAGATTACTCCGCCGAGCGGGGCGGGCGCCGAGTGACTGGGCGGCGGCGGTCGGGTCGGGGGTCGACGGAGTCGCCGGATGTAGCGTGCCGGCGCTCAGAGTCGTCGCCCAGCAACCGTTTACAAACAACCAAGAGGAAAACGCTCTATAAGACAATAATTTCTAATTTTCGGGTAAAAATCATTTATGGCCGCTCTGGTGTAGTGTTGGTGTATCTGGTGTAGTGGTAAGTGACATGGTTACTACACAAGGGGGTCGCGGGTTCGAATCCCGCCGAGAGAAGAAATTTGTATGATAAATATAAAATGTCTTTTCCATGGTTATGGATGTATACCTATTAAATATAAAATATGTATGTGTGTAATAAAAATCTTACATTTATTTCCGTTATCTGGTACCTAACGTGGTGTGATTGTTAGCAAATATTCATTTATTTATAAAAAAAACTCAGATCAACGTCATTCAAAATTATAAACAACTGAGTTAATGGTCTTGATTAGGTGAAATGGAGTTGAGGAAAGCTATATCTGAGCTTTATTTCAGGACGCATTTACCTACTGTATATTTTTAATAAATTTACTGATTTAAGTATCCAGTATTAACTTTATTAACCAGTTAGCAGGGTAGTAATTATTTCATTGATTGATTTTATACCTATCTAAATCAGCGGTGCCCATGCCGGTTCGTTTTGGTTGCTCTGGTATAGTATCCGTATAGTACCTACCTATCATTAGTGGATGATCATACCCGATCCTGTGGACCGAATGGTAAACAGTTGACGTCGCCCTAATCACGTCATTCCGGTCCTCTCGATCCATTAACGGTGCTTTTAGGTACCTATCTCAAGCACCGGTCACCGTCCTACCGTAAATTAACCCACATACACTGCCTACTGAGTTTCTCGCCGGATCTTCTCAGTGAGTCGCTTTTCCGATCCGTTGGTAGATTCTGCGAAGCACTGCTCTTGCTAGGGCCAGCGTTAGCAACATCTCCGGTTTGAGCCCCGAGAGCTCACCTACACGCTAAGGTAACGCTGATATAGCCTCTCAAGGCAATCAGCATAAGCCTCAGTTTATTTGGTGTTGAGTGGTTATCGGAGCTCATAGACATCATAACGTGAAAGCTATCACAATTGGAATGCTTAGCAGCTGTCCTACCCTTCAGAGCGGTATGCACAATTGCTTCGTCTTAGAAATAATGTACATACCCATACTTGTCTACATACAATACGCCCCACAACTTGTATTTACGAATTTGTTCAAATTTTGCGACTTCAATCTTTATTTTATGATGTTATTCCTTCATTGTGGAAGACGATCATCAGAGTTCAATGCGTGTTACCTTACAAAACTTGGTACCTGCCTCGGGGATTTAAGCACCGGTATAACATGACCCTTAATCCGACAGACATTTTAATGACCTACGCGCTCATTTTAATAATCTTATTTTTGTTGCATAAAGTTAAGAAGTTTGAGGCTTTGCGCTTGCGGTGACCATCAAGAATAAAAAGTTAATGTTTGTCTTTGTTGCTCATTATAAATGAGGTTGAAGTTTCAGTTGAATTTAATAACGACTGTGCCACTCTTCAAATTTGAATAAAGAACTGCATTTTACCCAATGTGGATTTTTTTCGTGAACGTGTTCAGTTCATTCATACGTAATATTGAATTTATAAAAGTAATTTCAACTGGATTTTAGTAATCATTTTACGTAAAATGCATCTTGTTCTTTTGTCGCAAACTTCCTTCCTAGANGTTGAAGTTTCAGTTGAATTTAATAACGACTGTGCCACTCTTCAAATTTGAATAAAGAACTGCATTTTACCCAATGTGGATTTTTTTCGTGAACGTGTTCAGTTCATTCATACGTAATATTGAATTTATAAAAGTAATTTCAACTGGATTTTAGTAATCATTTTACGTAAAATGCATCTTGTTCTTTTGTCGCAAACTTCCTTCCTAGACGTTCACGAGGAAATCGAGTGTTTCTCGCTCAGTGATGAGAGAGCGTCGTCTTTAATTAATATTTATACAAAACTAAAACAAGTTTTAGGTGTCCTTCTCATCCTTTCCAAGTGACTCAACTGGCTTAGCAATCGTACCATTATAAAAAATAAATGAAGAAACTTTGAAACACTTCTAAAAAAGGTTCGCTGTCTCTGAGGTTTTTAAAGGATCTGAAATTTAAAAAGTTTGCTTCGAATTGAATAAGGCGCGGAAAATTTGATGATCTAATTTTTTACTTTTTCGCTTTATTATGATTTCAATTAGGAAATTATAACACTTTTAAATTAAAGTTTTTTATTTATTTATTTCATACAAGGCCATAAAACATGCCTTGTAAAAATGTACAATCTTCATGACAATTTTTATGTATTATATTTACGAGCAATGAAAAAATAAGTCAAAAATATATTTTACATTTTCGTCAACACATGATGTCATGTTATTTAGATCTACTACGAAAAATGCTGTGCGAATGAAAAAAACATCTTTAAAACCTGACAAATATGATTGGATTTCTAAGGATGGAAATAGGTGTAGAAGCTTAAATTTTTGTTGTTATAAATCGATGGAGAACTATTCAAAAATATATTCTGAAATTTTCAAATCAATTCCACGTTTAAAAATTATAAACGTTTGAGCGAGCGTTCTTCGGTCCTTCGTTCATCAACGATTTAAAATGTATTGGAAAGAAAAAGAACGTTAGTAGGTAGTTCTTTTATTTCTTAGAACAATAGACCGTTGATAGAAATTTCTAGAAGAATTAGAGACCCGTGACGAAGCATAAGTTTTAAAACGATCTTCATCGAATAAGTTTCGTTTATACATGAAATGTCTGGGTATCCGAAGAACGGGCACGATACTTCAACTCGGAGTAGTTGATCTCGTAAGAGATCATTTCATGTAAAATCACCTTAATATAGTAATTAAAAAAATCTTTTAAATAGAGTTTTTCACTGTCTTAACGGCTTTGTCACAAATAATTATGCGTCGAAATTACAAGCAGGCCATAAAAACATTTTAAACAGGTAAACGTGGCCTCTGGTTTAAGATGGATGTCCCTTATAAGTGCGGTTCACAAACACCCCGTCATGTCCTTTTATTAATAATCGATTTGAAAAAAATCGTCGAATAGTATTTGTCATGCGTCCCTTAGGGGTTGGCCGAGGTTTGAATTTGTTTTTTTTTAATTATATGCACATCGGTACTGGTCTCTGCGAAGATAAAGAGGTTATATAAGACTCACCTTTAGCGACAGTAAAGAAGCTCGAAAAGCTGAAGTTGAAAATGATGCATATGAAGCTGACGAAGGACTGCATATAATGCCGGAATAGCCGATTAACCAGTAAGTTGTCGAAATTGATTTAATAGGCGACATTTTTTTTTTTATTGCCCTTGATATGTCCGTTACTTTTTGAGGGAAATATATTTGAAAATTTTAAAATATACTCTTGAATATAAGTGTTAAATGATCCCATAGTATAAATAAAATAGTGATGTATGTAATCTCTGTTAAAAAAAAACGCAAACCACTAAAAATACGCCATCCTACACCTATTTCATTTTTATTGCACGATTTATAAATGTATACTTAATTTCGTTTTTACAGTTGATATTGAACAAAGATATTCATAATAACACACACATAATAATATGTAATATGAAAATATTCACATTTCGTAACATTGCACTATTTTAGGGTAAATGTAAAACGTTTTATCAATTCCTTTGTACTGTATTATGTAAAAGATAATATTTCTTCAAACGAAAATGATTGAAAGGTTTTGTCAAATCTAATAATGAATTGGCACATTTACTGTATAATATTTTTTTCTCTATTTATATCCCATTTCATTTCGTCAGCTAAAGAAAAAGATTTTTAATGACATAAGGCACAATATGGTCAACATGTAACGTAAGTGATATATATAAACATCAAATCTATTTCATAACAATATAGTTTGAACTGATTTAATTATCTAGAAATTATGCTAGTTTAAATTACAAAGTTTTTCTTATGATAATGTTAAGATATTTATTTATATGAAATTTGTGCAGTGTGTCAAATTGCATCACCAAATATTTGCAAGTGTTGCAATATTTTTAATACAAGCGAGTAAATTTTTTACAATAGATGCAAGTATTGGTACAATTTGTGGTTGTATGTCAGTAATTAGTTAAAATAAATTTGATAAGTTTCAGCCCTAAAAGTAATCAGAATCGCCAAAGTAGGTTGCCAACACATATTCTCAAGTGATAGAATAGTAATTTCAATATAATTGAGCCATTGACAAAACTACAGTTTGTGTAATTAAATGTGATATTAGTATTAGTCCCATAAAATAGTATTTTTTATTAAATTAGTGAACAGAAACTATAAGCATGACGATTGTCTCAGACTTTTAGAGTTAATAGTAGATTAATTACCTGATGTGTAAATAAAGTAAAATTCACCTAACAGAATAGAAGAATAAAAAATGTTATAATATTTCCCCCCAAAATTAGCAGAGCATTATTTGCAAAGATTAAAATGATTCGCAATGTTAAGTGTATTCAAATTCTAAACACTCCAAGCTTTAAGATTGTTCACTGTTAGTACATAAGATCTCTTTTATACATTGTAATCTTAATAAATATAGACTATTTAATTTACACTTAACTATATAGCGGTAACAAATATATTGCCAACTCAACTGAGATCTGTTTATAGATCATTAGTTTTATACTGTATGTAGTATCAACTGCAAAAAATTGTGATGCAACTTACTTATTTTTGTTTTAAGTTATAAATACATACAAATTGTACAATAGGCACATGATTTCTCAAAAGTTAGTCTTTCTCTTAATATACTATGTTTATTTTATACTTTTTATGCTTAAATAGCTTATGCTTAAAATATATTATGATCAAATTATACTTCAGCTAACTTTGACTTTCCATTCAGTTTTCCAAGCTGTCCCAACATTAATACAGTGTTTATTAAATTCTCTGAATAAATACGCTGATTGGTTTCCATTTTTCTTAGTTTTTGTACAACATACTTTGAGAAAAATTCTAATTCAGTTTCATTGCCCTGGATTCGAGGTTCTGAATCTTGCTTCTTTTTATGCTTTGTACTCATTTGGTTTTCTGAATTTAAAGACTTTCTCTTAGAAACCTTAGTCCCATTGTTGACAAATGCTTGGTTTAAATCTTCACCTAAGTCATTGGCTTCTTCTTCATTAAGTTGTATGGTTAAGTCATCTGGCACAGTTACCATTGGTATATGGTTTTCAGAAAATATTGGTGATGGTAAAAATGACACCCGTTTACGTACTTTGACCACTTTATCACTTTTATCCAGGTTTGGTGCGCCCACAGTGTGTCGTCTGTTTGTTTTGCTTTTTGGATCCACATTGTGTAATCGGTTACTGGTTTGTTTGTTACTCCAGAAATTGACTTTAATTTTTTGTTTGGGTTTTGGTTTATTCTCAGCTGGTTTTGTCCTATTTAGTACTGTTGGAAACTTGTAGCGAACTTCATCATCATCAATAATTTTTTGTTTCTCTTTTTTATGTTTGTTAGGGGATTTTAAATTATTATTGAAGTATTGAGTATTAAGCTTGTATCTTATGTTATCATCGTCAGATTGATATCCATTTTTCTTATTCATCTTCTTAGCAACTGCGTCTATAACAATTAACAAAATTGATCTGCTCAACTGGATCTCAACATGCCCCTGAAATTATTTATAAATAAAAGTTATTTTTATATTTTTAAAACAATTATTATTTCTCTCTTTCTTCAGATGTTCATACTAATGAAGCATAACAGTTAAATTTCCTATACACTTAATATTATATTTAAGTAGGTAGTTGGTTTGCTACTGTTTTATCTACAGGCGACTGACTTTCCCGCCGAAACGGAAGGTTACTTAGACAATGTGTTTATGTTAAAACCTTGATAAATAAAACTTATGTTACTTTCTAAAAAACCAGTCAAAAGCAATAAAGTATAATGTAATTTATTTCAGTAATATGTAAATGAATTTTAAGATACCTACAAAATTATTTTAGCTGTTAGTTTATAGGTTAGAATGTGATTTTGTTATCGTGTTCAGAAATGTGAACTTTCACAAAAAAATTAATTATTTTTATAGTACTAATTTAGATATCAAATTGTATGTGGGTCAGTTTATTGTTATCAATACATTAAAAGCAAAATGTGTCATCATTATCAGGTTTTCTGTTTTGTTTCACGAGTTGTTGTTATATAACAGGGAACTCAATTTTAAATTACTTACCTTGATCACTTATGATTTAATTTCTTTATAAATTTTCAAACTTTGTTTTACTGTTCACTGTAAACTAGATAGGCAAACGAAAACAAACAAGACACGCGCACACTGAGCAGCATTCCATGACATGTGTGTGTTCCGAAATTAGCCACGTCTATTGAGGTGGCGCTGTTGACTGCAAACGCGCGGGAAAGCGGTTACGGAAGCATTCCGCATGAAAATTAATCAACATTCGGAACGTCTCTGAATCGGTTTGTTTGACTTTTTAATATATCTACATTAATATTAAGTGTATTCACATCTATGTATCCGTATAATATTATTTACCTATTTAATGTGTTTCATACAAATTTGTTACAGAACAAATTCAATTTAAAACATCTCTATAAATATTAGACGAAAAGAAATAGTATATAAATAGTCGGTTATTTTATAGGCAATATTTATCTGCATAAGCAATTTTATTAAAAATATTGAGTTTTGAAAATTTTGACAAGGGTTTTTACTTTGTCTGTAATATAGCCAACTTTTTTGTCAAAAAATAGTTTCAGTTTTGGTGCATAACATTATTTACTTAATTTAATGCCATGTACTTATAAAATATGTACATCGAATGAAAGTAAACATTAAAGTATAAAACCATTGTAATAATTGTAAAAAAAAGTCGTATTTTTAATAAATTATGCTCTACAATAAATTATTACTTGATCATTAAACTTGTATAAATGACATAAGACGTTGTAGTAGGGTAATAAAATACATACCATATGATTTTTCATTGAAATCCAACCCATTTTGGCACGAAATTTAATTTTATGTTTGCGATCCGTGATTATTACAAAAACTCAGAACTTAAAAAAATGTTTGTTGCACTTTTTGTACCGTATTTATACAAATAATTACGAAACATTCGTATCACACAGTGCGATAGGTTATGTCAATAGTCGAGATCTTGTCTTACACTGAATGGGATGCTGTGCGCAATGCGGCACTGCTCAGTCTCAAAACAATAAAGTTTATTACCAAATGGGGCTACTTGCCAAATAGTTTATAATTTAATCATCTGTATTGTAAGAAAAATACTTATAAAAAGATTGGGTGTTGTAACAAAAGAATTTGAAATATACTAAGCGGCACTTACTGTTTGGAACTGCAATTTTTAAACTTTCGTTTTCAGTTAATTGTTAACACTATTAAAAATTATATCAAGTATGTTTGGTATCCTACAAGTTTTAATGATAATTGTTATCCAGTTACTTTGAGACTTAATAAGCTACTTTAAATAACGTTGAAAGTAATGGCGCTAATTTTAAATTTATTGATCGAAAAATTTCTACGCATGTGTCACTATTGACTAGAAAAGAACATGCGCAGTTTAGTTGAAGATAATTTCAGGTTTTAATTATTAGGACTACAATTAGGTCACTGCTATTATAGTTTGATATCTTATACTTTCGATTATACTCTAGGAAATTTGGGACTGAAAAAATACAAACAGTTTTGCGGACGACTAAAAAGAAACTTAGGCTACATAAGTTTTATTTTTATAAATAAATTTGTTGTCGTAATTTAACAATTTTGTCTGTTTTTTCACATTTATATTTTAATATATTTTGTTTCAAATATGATGATAATTTAATACAATTCGATTGTTTTGTTATATTTTTGAAGCTTGTAGTGGCTTAACGGATAAGACGCCTGGTACGGCCGTATCGAATATGTCGGTGTTCGAATCCCACTGATAAGTAGGTACATTTTTTTCTAATGAAGTACCTACGCATTTAGCGGATGATTTTCACGGCTAAGAAATAACATCATGAAAGAAAAATTAAACTCGCAAAAGTTATAATTTGTCTAATCACTCTTGCTAGGGCTTCTTGTGACCCCATATGCGTACCTACTACCACTCTGCCTATTTCTGCCGTGGAGTAGTAGTAATGCGTTTCAGTCCGAAGGGTGGGGAAGCAGTTGTATTATAACAATGAGCGTTGAACTCATTTCTCAAGGCGCTATTTACGATTTTAATATATGTAGGTTGATATGGGCCAATGGTGAGCTCGTTCACCAATCTAAGCAGTTAAAAAAACCCTTGTTTTCCTTGTTGTATTTTAAAGACGAAATAATTACTAGTGCTACGATATTTTATAATTGCGTGTAAGTAGGTTAGTACCACCCTGCCTATTTTAGTCACCGATTCGTTCCGGTTTCAAGAGAAACTTATAGCTCTTATATAAGTTATGACGATGTAGGTCCGGTAATTATCCAGTACACATATTTCTATTTAAAGGGTTCCTTTCGGATTTTCCACTATGACCTCACGGATCTATTGGAACCTGTGGGCCTACGGATACGCTTTTTTCAGTTTAGGTTTTGTGCTTATTACTTTATATTTCTTATGGAGATTGAGGAATTGCTAAAGTGATCCCGTCATTATAAACAGCTTAACCTTGTCGGAAACTGCTATTCAATCCACAATTCGTTCCTTCTTGTACCATCAGTCTCTTCTAGCTAATACGACTTACAACAAATATGAACGGTATAATCAATCCCATTAAAAGGATTTAAGCTGATTTTGTGTCTCGATCAGAAATTTAACAGAATTACAAAAGAAAGCTAGTAGATTTTTTTCAAATACTTTTCCATTTTATCTGAATAGGCACATACAATGATTTTCTAAGGTTTTCGCGAATCTAAAATACTCAAGATAAAACTGTTTTTACGCTTTATTCTCGCGTTCATTATTAACGTCATATTATACGACACGGTCAATCGTCCGTGATTACGAAAACTGTAAAGCATCAGAAAAGTCAGAAATAACATATTATTATTGACAATAAATAAACACGAGGTAAAACTGTAAAAGTATTTTCAATTTGAAAATATTGTGCAATTTATTTATTGCACAAAACATTATTAGTGTTAAATACAAAATAATATAGTCATTGGACTAGCAAAACTGTCTGACAGATAGGATATAAGCTGTACTAATTAATTGTATGTATGCAAACAATTAGCACAATCTTGATTTAATTGCCAACCAATTTTGAAATATGTATGTATCTACTGGAATACGACGATTTTGTTCATAGAATATTTACCTAACTTCTTGAATGTCCAACGATGAAATCACAAGCATAAACTGTTCCATTGTTAGGTCAAAGAATCCGTTATATCTTAGTTCCGGAAACAGTCGCTAGGGCTAACCTTCTCGACGCCAACAAAATTGGCAGCGTCCAAAGTTTGGACAAATGAAATGAAACAATGAAAGACAAAACTTACCTGAGCTCTTACAGCCGCAAGATGGAGTTGGGTCGCCCTGTATTCATATTTCTTTATTGACATATCCTCCTAGTTAAAAAACACATATCACTTATTATTCGACTTATATTTCTATGAAAATTATGATACTATACATATAATCTGTAGGTACCACTAAATTTAATAATTTTTAATTAATCTGTTCGTGGTAAGCTCACTGGTGTTCATATTGTTTATCTTGCACATTTTTAAGTAATTTTTAATCTAGCAATAAAAAAGAACAATCCTGATTTTTCTAATAGTTTATTGAGTTGTTGAATCGTGTCGACGGACGGCTTAATTGCTCTTGGACGACAGATAGATGTCGCTAGTGTATTGTTGTAGAAATAAAATATCACGTTCAATTCTAAAATAATAATTATAATGTAATAATGTTTCAAATGTTTGTGATGCGTATTACTTTCTATTTATAGATCAAATCATTAATTCAAATTTAATGAAACCGCAAAGGATCTAGGAAAATCAAAGGAATCAGCTGATATATTTAACTTTCACATGAACTTAGTTTTTTTTAAAATGAATGCGATTGGTTTTTAACGTGCTCATTAATTTTTTTTTGTTGTAGAACTATTTGATCTAAAATGACTTACTTGTATTTCATTGACTTTACTGTAGACACTATTTTCGAGTCCTCTATTCTGGTGACGGGCTAGAGAGTCCAAGCCATCCTAGAATAGCGCAATATTATTTAAAAAATCACGAATATCCATCCATAAATGCAATATTTTTAGAAATTGCAATCATTATAGTAATACTTTAACAAAGAAAATTTGCGTATATATCACAAAAGAAGCCAAATTAAAAGTATACGTATGATTCAAACGGTAACAAAATTTTCTTGCTATAATTGTAACGGTTACAGTAATGAATTTAGACTTTTTCGATAATGTTTCCTTAGTAAATATTAAGAAATTAATGGATTTTTATTATATAAACTGAATGAAATTAATGTGTCTTTCAATGACCTTTCGTATTTTTTAATAGGTTTTTGTCATGCTTTATCGAACCTGTAAAAGTTTGATTTGGGTTTCGAGATCTTGAGCGTCTTTTCTAAGCTGTTCATAGCTCAGTCGGGCCTGTCCACCAGCCATACGGTCCAGAAGCATTTCTTCACGCAGAACTGGAGGCATGCTCTCCTGTTAAAAAACCAGGAAAAATAAAATTATTGATTCGAAAAAAAAAACAAAGTAAAAGTCAATTTTTCGTCAAATTCTATTGAATACCTTTTTCTATAAGCTAAAAAATACCTTTTTTTTTACAGGACAGATGAAACAATAGAAAGTGATGTCAATAAAAAAAAAATAAAAAAAAATTATATAAGTAGGTTTATTTACCCGTACTGGTTATTAGATATCTAAGGCCAATATGTTATGTTGTTCGCGACTTTGGTCGTTAAGCAAGCCGAGGAAAAAAGTTAACCAAACAAGTAAATCATTTTATCATAACACGTAACATGTAATCATTATAGTAAATCTTTGGGTTTCACCTAAACATTGTGAGGTAAACAAGATTTCGCCAGGATACAGGAATACGGCCATAGATTGTGCGTTGATTTAAACTTTTTTTTTTCTAAAATACTAGTGACTTTTTTCATCCTTACAAGCTGTGAATTTGGAATCAAGAGGGATATTTAACTTTAGGTATTTGACTTCGCCCAAATAAGCAATGACATTAACAGTTAAGTACCATTTTGTCTTTCTATTATTTTGTTTGTATTGATGAGCTTTAGTTTTTATTAGCAATTATATTTTTTGGAAATATTCAGTATTTCAAAGTCTTATTAACAAGAAAAAAATAATTGCTATACTTAAACGACACGAATGTGAATCTTGAGGTGTCAGTGGTTATGGCCAAAAACAGATCATTGAGCGAATATTGTAATAGTTGTTATGAAATATATTTAGTACGTAGTTTCAGATCATTATCTCAAAGGCATAAGTTGTTTCATTAAAAGTTTACATTCTTGCATCCATCTACATGTATGATATTGGAACATTGTGGTTTTTTTTGCGTCAGTAAATAAGTACCTTTAGTTTTGAATGAGTATGACTGCAGAATAAGGTTATCCTTCAAAGTATTCGCCCAATTTTTACCCTTCAGGAGTGAGATATCAAAAAAATCTTTTTAGTAATTAGTTCATTCATAATAATAAGACGTAGTAAATATTTTTACTTCCTATGTTAAGCCTAGTCAGAGGGTTAATCTGCATTCTTCGTTTTATTTATAATATGAAGATTTTTCAGAGCCATGTATTGTACTATGAAGCCTCTTTTATTTGTACCCTTAGAAACATTCCGACATTCAAATAGAAATATTTATAAATGCAGAATTAATCTAAGCTTCGTGGCTCGTAAAGGTTCGAGCATAAATTGAATTTCGTTCTAGGGATGATTGGATTTTGCTTTGTAACATCTTGCTACTATTATATTTTGTATGTGGTTTGCGAGTCAAATGATTTATTTCCGTTTCTGAAATATTATTGATAAAATTTGGAATAGCATTTTATTTATATCAATTCAAAATAAACAAGATTTGAAGAATTACATTTAATAAATAATTTACCTTTTACTATAAAATTTTATTATTGACCAAGATCATGAATATAGAACTGTGTTGTTACGATTTTCAAATATACCTATTTATAATTACCAGCATTCGATCAACAAACAAAATAAGACGTTAATCACTAATATCACAAGTTTCAGATTAATTTTGATGATTACATTTTCTGTTTTGTTGGATATTTATAAAATCATTCGAATAAAGAAATCTGGTGAGACTAAAGCTCGCCATAATACCTACTACTTAACATAAAAAGATGCAAATTGGGTGACAATCGGATGAGAAAATAGTATTTTGCCTTTTAAGTTTTATCAATTCGAGTAATTTATTTACAAACAAATTTGACTTTACAAATGTTTTTTTTATTGCTTAGATAGGTGGACGAGCTCACAGCCCACCTGGTGTTAAGTGGTTACTGGAACCCATAGACATCTACAACGTAAATGCGCCACCCACCTTGAGATATAAGTTCCAAAGTCTCAGTATAGTTACAACGGCTGCCCCGCCCTTCAAACCGAAACGCGTTACTGCTTCACGGCAGAAACAGGCAGGGTGGTGGTACCTACCCGCGCGGACTCACGAGAGGTCCTACCACCAGTTATTGAGTTTATTGAACAGTTTATTGAACTATTGCATTTTGTTTCAAGGGGTATTAAGTTTACCGCTGGAACGTCCAGTGGCGGGTCGTCAGGTTCTGGCGGGTAAGGCGGCAGGAAAGCCCGCTTGGGCGGTTTCATTGGTGGCTGTGCAGTCAGAAGTGTGCGAGCTAAATGCGCCAGATCAGCAGTACTGGATACGGCACGAGCTTGAGCACACAAAGACTCATAGCGACGCAATTGAGTGTTACACTGAGAACAACAAAAAAAACACATTAAAAACATAATACTCAAATACTCAATACTCAAATTCCTTTACTGTTTCAGCAACTCATCTTTGGAATAATAAGCTTTCCCCCGAGTTTTCGTGGAGCACGTTCAGTTGATATTTTCAAAGCGAAAGTACATGGTCTCTTTTTCAAAGCACAGATTGCTTGATTGTTTTGTAGTACGTTGTGGTTTATATAATTTATTTTATTTGATACGTATTTCGTATCTATGTATTTTGTATGTATGTTATCTATGTATTTATTTTTGGCAATGTAATTATAACCTAGTGTTCATTTTTACTCATGTCTACTATAATTCTTTAAATTATCGCCATGGGTTAACTGGAAGAGAATGCCTGCATGGCGTTAAGTTCGCCTTTGTACAATATTTTTGTGCAATAAAGAATTTTCATTCATTCATTCATTCATTCATAATAACGCAATTCAATCTTATCTTATAATATCTTCTATATATATATATTTAAATCATCTATCTTTACAGAGTATCGAGGGGTGGAAGGCTATTTGGTTCAAGCGACGTCTCGCTTAATTCGCGACATTTATCTTTGTAATTAAAGGTGCATTTTATCTGGTATTGGCATCAAAAATTCAATGTTTATAATTAAACTCCACTTGAGTTTACTCCATTAGAATAGCCGAAGAAGTTTTTTTTTGTCTGATATTTTTTCCAAATTTCAAATTTTAAATGGCTCTCCTTTAAAGTTGCAAGCATGTTGCTTAAACCAAACAGCCTTTCACCCCTCGATTTAATATTTATTCTTCTTCTTATCAGCCCACAGACGTCCACCGTTGGACATAGGCCTCCACCAAGCTTCGCCACAAAGACCGGTCCTGCGCTGCCTGCATCTAGCGGAGCCCCGTGAAGCTTGATAGATCGTCGGTCCATCTTGTGGGAGGCCTACCCACGCCACTTCCGGTACGCGGTCGCCACTCAAGAACTTTCTGGCCCCAGAAAGCTCTTGAGTTATTTCTGGGGCCAGAAAGTTCTAATATTTATTATTATTTTAAATATATATGTATGTATAATCGAAGTTATTGAAACTGGCAGAACTCAAGATAATGTAAGTTCGTTTTGTGTGAAAAATGAATAAACGTAATGAATTTTTTTAGATGTATAAACGGTACTTAGCACGATGTGCAGATGCCGATGAATAATATCTTAGTCGTCCGTGACGAAAATTGCGAAGTATCCGAAATCTCGGAAATAATGCGATGACAATAAAATACGCGAGATTAAACCGTAAAAGTAGTTTTGATCATAATCGTTAAAGCTTATCCGACCACGACGGGGCAACGCAAAGCCGCCGTCGCCCGTAACATGTCTTGTCAGATCTCCTGCATTCACTCTCGGTGCTTTTAGGACCCTCAAGCACCGGTCATTGTCTTCGACGAACTCGTCAATTACGAAGAAGAGTTTTTATATGTTTTTCGGTAATGTAACATGTTTTAACAAGCTTTCAGCTCGTAAGCAGTTGTTGCGTGTAAATTGAACCATCTGATTCGTTATAAGACTCCATAGAAATAACAATTAATGGCTTCACCTGATACATGAGGTTGAAGTTTAAATCGTATGCCATATGTACTTGCTGTCACACTCACTTCATCGCATCACTTCTTTACGGGTAGCATCGTAATTACCCTAGCGAGCTTACAATGTGTCTTACCACCAGTAAAATTACGTTTAATTATGAGTTAATGTATCATAAAATCTATCTTATAATATAAATGAATTCCTGTTCGTTAGTCTCGCTAAAACACGAAAACGGCTGGACCGATTTGGCTAATTTGGGTCTTGAATTATTTGTGGAAGTCCAGAGAAGGTTTAAAAGGTAGATAAATATGAAAATGCTCGGAATTAAATAAAAATAACAATTTTGTTTTTCCTTTGACGTGTCCCCCGTCGACGGATTCTTTTGTTTGTTTTAAGTTTGTTTTATACAAAAGTTTAAGGCTTTTATTTATCGATTGAGGCACTACGAAGTCTGCCGGGTCAGCTAGTTTAGAATATATTTCGCACTATGCCTTGAGTGTGTCTATTCTATGTAATTTTTGCTATAACATAAAATAATTGTTCATAAAGTTACATATTAGTACCCGTATCTATCTTATCTTAGAATTTGGGTTACCTTATCTTATATGTATAGTTTATCGACATGATTCATTACACTAATAACAGTTTCAGAATACAATATTTTTTAGTTTATCGTTAAAACAAGTAAGTACGAAGGCTTAATTAAGAAGAATAATTATACCAAACATTTTCCTGTGTATTTTCATAACTTTGATCTGTTCGTATATCAAGTTACAAACTGAGTTTATTAATTAAGGAAAGGTATAGGATATAAATATTTGAAAAATGTTGCCACAAAAGTTGTAAAGGTCTATCTATAAGTAAATATGTACAGAGCCCTCTTATTCGTCTAATCTAGTAAGTTTGATTCAGCTCTTATTACCGTCTAACTTTATTTCCCTTACGGCCTCTAGGGGCTTAACTAAAACAATCTCAAGATGGATGACAAAGATCGATGGGGCATATTTATTGACATCGAATTCTCTTCGTTGCGCTTGGAGAATCGTGGTGTTTTCTCTTTACTTGTTAAGCTTAGAAGGAATCCATTCTGTGAGTGAAAAAAAAAATCTCGATTTTTGTGTTGAATATCAAAGCTAATTCATAGTCAGCTTGTAGCAAATTTTACTTTTATAAATATACCTTTTGAAATAGCATTCAAATACAAGTATACAATACAATATGTATGTACCTAGTGAAAATTAATTCAAAATTTTGCATTTATGAAAACCTGTATAAAAAACTGAATTCTGTATATAATATTTTATAATATTGCCCGAGATATATCATATATTTGTTAGGCTTTGTAGTTTTGTTTGAATCCGTTTCTCTGATTGTCAGAAATATTAATTGGCAAGTAATTAAAACGGGATCTGCCATTCGCACCTTTGAGGATACTCTAAATTAAGTTAGTTTGTAGGGTTGCGTACGAAGGAAAATTTAATTTTCTTTAATTACTTTATCATTGCTTAGACAAGTGACCGAGGTCACAGCCCACCTGGTCTTATGTGGCTACCGGAGCCTATAGACATGACCTCTGAAAATGCCGCTACCCAGCTTGAGACCTGAGTTCTAAGTCTCAGTCCAAGGACTGCCCCACCCTTCAAACTGGAACGTATAATTACTAAATACGGGTGATGGTAACTATTCGTGCGGATTGATAAGATACCGTACTGTCAGTACTGGTTAGTGTTAAGATGTGTTGTTGGTATGCATGGGTTATTATCGCTAACCTATATCGCAATCGAATGTCATTAGGGATAGTAAATATGACAATTGAAATAAATATAGGTAGGCAGTAATCTCCATCTTCGAACATTTATAATTCTTGATTAACAAAGACAGTTTCCAGAACCGAAACATAGTTTTTCTAAAATATAGTAATTCAAAGAGTATATGGTTTTTAAATTTAGAAATGTGAAAATTGAGATACACCCTTTTTAGTAAATTGATCTGTATGAGTTCTTTAGACTATTACGTTACGTTACGTATACTTTATATTCTTCACATTTAGATTAAGCAATATTGTATTATATGTATTTATGTTATGAAGCGGCATATAAAACTCATAAAAAATTACCTTTTCAGTTATAATTTCTCCTCCTTGGCAAATTGCGTCACTTACAGCAGTTGTAACTTCAGTTAGAATCTCTTCCAGCTCCTGAAAATAATATTTAATAACATTAATTAATTATATTCCGACAGAGAAACATATTTCTTGGCGTTCTTCAAGGTTATTGTAATTAAATTCGGATATCGAAGGACATCATAGACGGTAATCTAATTTTATTGAATCTAGTTTTAATTGAAAGTGTTGTTAGTGGGATTATGTATTTAGAACTCGGATCTGCTTCAGTTGACAAACGAACAAAATAAATTTAACAGTTACTGTAGTTATATCTTCGAGAGCTTGATTAAAATTACGCACGGATCTATATCGTCTTATGTCAGGTTACATTTTGGGAGAGTAATGAGTTATATGAAGGAACAGAATTAAAATAGGTGTAGAATGTTCTTGGATAGTAATCGTTTCATTGGCAACGCGACGCAGCTCTTTTGAAATGAACAAAACGTATGGTAGGCTCCGAACACATTGTCGTTATAACAGATTTGAAGACGGTTCGAAGCACAATTGTATCAAATGGCTTTAAGGGACAAAGATGACAACACACCAAGTTTAATTTTATTGTAATTTGTTTTGGTCAGTTCACAACATTTTAATGCTTTTAATAGTTTTCGCGTCGAATTTAACGGAATTTGCTACAAATTATAACGTTTAATAGTCTTTTATCTTTTAATCTTTCGACAAATTCAAGCAATCGTTTAGCTAATTGGATGTTTAAAAGAAAAATACCACTGAAATAATTTCTTACTAAGCTTACTTCGTGATTATAATGCTGTTAATTTTATTATCTATTAGAAATAACTTGTGTATTTTTGACGGATAAAAATAACATTGTAACTATTGTTTAACAACCTCATGTATAATGTTCAAATTCATATTGATGATCCGTTTCTTTTTTAATACGAAAGTAAAACATATTGAAAAAAAAATTTCTCCAGTAATTAGCTTCTTCAACAGGAAACAGGTATAAGTGGTTTCAATTCCAATATGCCCCAATTCCTTTTGCCTTTGTAGTTTCGATCTATGTCCAGACTGATATTTCAGGTCTGCCCCCAGCTGTCATATTTTCTTCTCTTCCACAATCTTCTTTAGCAAGAACCACAACATTTATAAATTCGCCTAAGGACACAAAACCAACAGCTAACATAAAATATTAGTGCTCCTCGATTTCAAATGTTGATTTTAACGTTCTGTTCAGAGTACACATATCTTACAATGCTTTTCCATTCCTATTAGCTGGTTTCATAATTATCTTCGACCATCCTGTAGGCAAGCCCCAGAGTGATGTTCTCTCTCCTCTTCTGCCATTCTTTACTCATTCATGATCTCCTCCAATTTCCATCTCTACGAACAAGGTTTACAGATATATCGTCACTCGATCAGTCATTGTGGCGAACCTTGCGGAAGGCCTATGTCCAACAGTGGACGCCTATGGACTGTTGGTGATGTAGTTCCAACCAACGCTCGGTCCTGATTTTTCCATTTCACAAATGCAATTTCTATTCTCGCTCCTTCATTTTGCATGCGGTCAGGCTGTAATACTTGCAGCTCGCTGATATGCGAGTTGGCAAGTCTCTTTTCCGTTTTATATTCAAAGTCAAGGAATTTATATCTTGCATCAAACTTATTATTCTGTTCTGCCAAATTCTTATTCGTTTAGTACGTATATAATATATATCCATATCGGGAATATGTAGTATTTAAATCTGCTTTTATGCGTTTTGTGTGTACTCCGATTAATACGTACATTTACGTATGACCACGAATGACTACCAAAACTATAACTTATTCGAAATCTTGGAAAAATATAAGGACAATAAACAAACGCCAGACTTAATAAGCTTTAATTATGTCTATGACTCGTGAAAGCCAAAGAAATCGTTGTTTATAGCTTGTCTAAATCCGGTCATCACTTTTAATTATTATTCCGATACTCCTCTCGAGGGTCTGGAAAAAATTTCTTAAAGAAATAAGTTTTTTTACCTACTTTTCAAATTATCTACTATTATGAATTTCTGTGTATACATAAATACATTCAAGAGAATGTGGTAGCTGTTTCAAGGTTTCGGAAAAAGTCATAACGCTTGTTTAATCATCTAAAAGAGCTATATTATTTATGCTTGTCAATCATTTTTCAGGAGATAAGATAGATTGATCCCGAGTTCACCAGTAAAAGATGGTTCGAATTTAATAACTTATATTGAATATAGGGCCGTATTATCAAGTTAAGATCGAAACGACTGTCCATTAATATGATGAAATTGGAAACGTCCCTGAAGTAATGTCGTTTATACTTTAGATATAGGTACTTCAAAACATCATTTATGGGCACTTTTGCATTAGTTGATGAAAATGATTTGCAGTTAGCTTTATTTTACGGCCGACTTACATTTTATTTGGGTACTTTATGTATTCGTAAGTCATTATTTAAATTGAAATAGGATTCGGCCTTAATCGCGACGAATTCGGCATTTCTTTGCAAATTTTTCGCTTTCTGATGCTTAAGTACACTGAAAACACAAAGCTGCCTATGTGTATAAATTATATTATACTAAACCATTTTCAAAATAACAAGAGCAGCGTAATAGGCAGTAGTCCTATCATAGTCCTAACTGACCCCGCTGGTCACTATTGTCTTGTGAGCCTATTCATAGACTGACATAGAAATTCCCGGCCCTAGAATACGGAGACTATATATTACTATATACGGGAATATAGAAATGACTATTATTCATTTCGTTCTATCCTATTGTAAGATACAGACTGTAGAACAATAACCTTTTTTTGAATGAAAGACATTTTTCCAAATTACATATACACAATTATTTTAAATGTTACTAGAACTTGTCCTTGGATAATTCAAATTAAAATAATTACTGGTTTATTTATTTATTTATAAGTTAATAAACGACTTTAATGTAAATTTAGGTACTATAGGTTTTACAGTACTACCTTAGTGTAATAATTATTAATTTGTTCTATCAGAGAAATAGTCTAAGATAGCTTTGCTGACCTTAAAAAATAAAATTAACAATGACTGTGAGCAATCATAGGGCAACAAAATCGAAGGCTTGTAAGAAAAATTATCATGACTGGACACTTCATGCTATCTTTAATAATGCACTAGCGGCCCGCCCCGGCTACGCACGGGTAATAGCGCAATCGATGTAAAAAAAAAAATTTTTTTTACCCGTTGGGTTATATTATTGTAGTTTCAGTAAGGATCCCTAATTTTTTTTAAATATAACAAATATAGCCTATGTTACCCGGGGATAGCGTAGCTTTCCAACAGTGAAAGAATTTTTCAAATCGGTTCAGTAGTTTCGGAGCCTATTCAATACAAACAAACAAACAAATCTTTCCTCTTTATAATATTAGTATAGATTATTTGACAGCGTTTTAAGGGAATATACCGAATGAAGTGGTGTGATAACGTTGCGGCTTATTATTTCAAACAATGAAAGACACCTTTACTCAATATTATGATTCCTTCATCTCCTGCATCGCTGAAGCATAATTCATCCATACTAACTGAAGCCGTTGCGTTAATTCACCGAACGTTTCCAGATATCTTTTTTGGTGCGTACTATTCGAATCTGGAATGAACTGCCTTTCGCAGTGCTTACGGAGCGCTTTGACCCGTCCTTCTTCAAAGATTTGGGGAAATCCTTTTTTTTATTGCTTAGATGGGTGGACGAGCTCACAGCCCACCTAGTGTTAAGTTACTGTAGCCCATAGACATCTACAACCGTAAATGCGCTACCCACCTTGAGATATAAGTTCTAAGGTCTCAGTATAGTTACAACGGCTGCCCCACCCTTCAAACCGAAACGCATTATTGCTTCACGGCAGAAATGGGCAGAGTGGTGGTACCTACCCGCGCGGACTCACAAGAGGTCCTACCGCCAGTAAAAGCCCTCAGCAGTAGGCAGCGGTTTGACTGTACCCCTGAATTTTTTTTATGTTCCGGTGCGACTGTGACCATACACCATAACGTGTGCCGTATGCTCATCTGCCTATACGGCAGTTAAAAATATATAAATGAAAGGTATAATTTACCTGTAGTATAGTAGGCAGAGTATGTTTGTGGTATTGTTCAAGCATCGCGTTTGTAGCGGTTAATTGCTGCACATAATTGTTGTGTGAATCATAGTACGTGGCCAAAGCAGCTGAATTCGGACTGTTGCAGTAGGTCAGGAACGCCGCCCGGTAGTCTTGACGGCTCTGGAATATAAATGGATAATTGACTTTTGTTGCTAACTTACTTACGTCTAGTTTGGAGTTGGCCAGTACGTCAAGTTAGTACTTACGTCTAGTTTCGAGTGTAAAACGAATTACAAATTTGAACTTTGACACGTGGAATAGTTTAGAAAACTTTGTTGATTATAAACGCATCATTGGATTTTTTAGATAAGCAGGCACTGTATTTTTATTTAGACACTTAGAATTTAGCCTATGACTCAAATTTTTGTTTTTGATGACAATCGAAAAAGATAATCGATCAAAAAAGGTCTTTATAAAGATGATTGCCAAAGTTTGACCGACTCGGTGGAGCAGTAGTTAGTACTCCTGCCTTTTGCGCCGAGGGTCGTGGGTTCGATTTCGTGTGACGAACGGATTTATTTGCTCTTTGTCTGGGGCTTTATTTTCTAAATATGTATCTATATTATGTACCATGTGGTACCCACAGTAACGGAAATCATAGTTTGAGGCTAGGCAACCGTGTGTGACTTGTCCCAAAAAAAAGTAAAAAATACATCACAATATGTTCACATTCACATAAGAAAAATAATTTTCTTCAGCTTTTCTCGTAACTATTTTTAATCAGTATAGATATTATAAAAAGTTTTTTTAAATTACAACCATTTCATTTGTACGTATATCTATCCTATGTCTTCAAGGGATTTTACCCGAAAATAAAGTTTAAATAATCCTATATCTAATATATAAAATTCTCGTGTCACAATGTTCGTTCCCATACTCCTCCGAAACCGCTTGACCGATTCTCATGAAATTTTTTATGCATATTCAGTAAGCCTGAGAATCGGCTACTATCTATTTTTTATACCCCTAAGTGATTAGGGTTGTCCACCCCTAACATTTTTATTTATTTGGACGTTTTTTTTTGTTATGTGGTTGAAGTGGTATTATGTGGTTGAATAAGGTTTTATTATTTTTATTATATACATATTCCCTCATCGTTCACAGCACTACATACCTCTTTCACTCATTTACCACATCCTTACACACTTACAATAAATTAGTTTTTTTTTCTACACTAGAAATTCCCTAGAAATCTTATATGTGGCAAAACAATGTTTGCCGGGTCAGCTAGTTTATCTATATAATACTAACTATCTTACACACTACTAAGAAAGATCAATTCCAGTATTTCTTTTGTAAATGGATTGGTAACAAAATCACTATTTTGATGATTCAAAGAGAATATTTTTACGTACAATACATATACGTATTTATGTATTTATGTGGTTATCAAATAATTTTAATTCTCTTTACTAAAGTTTACCGAATCTCTCATGCATGTATTCATATGCATGGTTATTCTTTCCGTATCTCTAAATGTAATTATATTTGTAAACGTATGCAAATAAAAGTGTACTGAAGTAGAAAAATATTGTGTGCTTAATGCTTTTAGAGCGGTTTCTCAATGCGTTTATCGATAATAGATATGGCATGATGGAGTGTGTGACCGCGCTGTTGATTGCTTTTCGATGTACTCGCAAATAGCCGGGTCTTTTCCGGCTGATTTTCTGTTTATTTCAAATTTTTATTGGATAAATTTTGGTAATTTTATAGTAGTTCAAAGTGAATTGATTAACTTTATGCTCCAATTATTATTTTTTATTGGTTTTAGTCGATAATTTATAATCAACTAGCTGACCCGGCAGACTTCGTAGTGCCTCAATCAATAACGAAAAGACCTAAGCTTTTTTATAAAATAAACTTAAAACAAACAAAAGGAATCCGTCCGACGGGGGCACATCAAAGGAAAAACAAAATTGTTATTTCTATTTCGTTCTGAGCATTTCCATATTTATGTACCTTTTAAACCTTCTCTGGACTTCCACAAATAATTCAAGACCAAAATTAGCCAAATCGGTCCAGCCGTTCTCCAGAGTTTTAGCGAGACTAACGAACAGCAATTCATTTTTATATATAATAATATAGATTATCAATATTACAATTTTCCATACAACTTGAATTATATGGGAAAATGTAAAATAATTACATTATGAACGATAATAATTAGAAATTTCATTTTATAATATAATGATGATAATTAATTTAGGTTAGATTAATATTAAATTACAGCAGATTGTGATATAAACAATAGATTTGTAGATGATAAAATTAATTAAAATGAGAACGAAGATTTGGAGAACTTTACTTTTCAAGTTTCTGGAACGTCGGTAAATAAAAACTTCGACTATAATGGAACCGTCTTTGATAAAAAATAATGCTAAAGCCTTAAAGTTTAATTTAATAATCTTGACTTAATAAATCCAGTGAAATAAGACGATTGCAAAGATGAAAGTTCAGAATATTACCTTTTTTGTGAAAGGGGATTTTAGAGATTTTCTGCAAAAGACTAGTAATTAAAAATGGTGGTCCTTTAGTGGATCTGATTTCGTACATTTAAGTAACGTTTTAATGAACATTCGTTAAACAACTAACATTTTTTATTTATGGCGTAAAATTCTCGAAGACAAGAAAAAGGTAGGTAGTTAGAACAATATATCGATTGGTCTGTAAAATTTTTTTTTTTTTTTTATTGCTTAGATGGGTGGACGAGCTTGCAGCCCACCTGGTGTTAGGTGGTTACTGGAGCCCATAGACATCCACAACGTAAATGCGCCACCCATCTTGAGATACAAGTTCTAAGGTCTCAAGTATAGTTACAACGGCTGCCCCACCCTTCAAACCGAAACGCATTACTGCTTCACGGCAGTTTCAATTATAAAATAGCTCTTGCATTATGAACAAACTATACTCGAATGTAATTACTAAGTGAGATTATTGTTACCGAAAGCACTCACAAATATATTAAAAACATCCGATAATACGAAGTAAAGAAAAATACATTTCGATATTACTTTGGTGTCGCGTCTACTGTTCATCGCTTCGAGTAAATACGTCAATTCTAACAATTCTCCTCGTGATAGGACACGGATTCATAAATTCAATTTCTTAAGGTCTTCCCGGAAAAAGACTCTTAGTGAATTTCGTCGAAAGTTTTATTTCCAGTTTCATAAGACGTTCAATGTTAATAATGTGGATTTAATATAATGGGAAAGCTCTGTTCGTTTTTGTTTATATACATATATATCTTGAATTATTTAAGAATTGTTTTTTATATTGAGATACTAATGATACCTAATTACACTCTAATCTGACCATCGATTATTGTATGAAAAACTAAAACTATTTCATGTTATTTAATAATCCTGGTAACAATTATGACGAAAATTTCAAAACTGATTCGACCGTTTCGGAGTCTATAAGAAACAAACAAATATAATACATACATATACAAATCGTATTTTCTATACAATAAATCGTTTAATTTTCATACCTTAGTGAGTTGATCATCTGCCTTTCCAAGAATCACTTCACAGCCCTCACGATGCGCAAATAGCTTCCGCGCTTGTACCTTCATGTGAAAGGTTTTTTCTATAAGTGGAGTCGCCACTATACGCTCCAAAGAAGAAGAAGCGTTGTTGTAACCGATGACATCTGCTTCTATTTCTTGCAATAGCGTCTCCCACGTGTGGAACAAAGAAGACGGACATGTTGCTCTGGCAAAAAATACGATTCAATGTTATTAATGAATTAAACCACTGATTTGCTGTCTTTTTTTATATTATTGCTTAGATGTGTGGACGAGCTCACAGCCCACCTGGTGTTAAGTGGTTACTGGAGCCCATAGATATCTACAACGTAAATGCGCCACCCACCTTGAGATATAAGTTCTAAGGTCTCAGTATAGTTACAACGGCTGCCCCACCCTTCTAACCAAAACGCATTACTGCTTCACGGCAGAAATAGGCAGGGTGGTGGTACCTACCCGTGCGGACTCACAAGGGGTCCTACCCCCAGTCACATAGCAGTCATGCGTTCTGGCTTGAAAGGAGCGACAGCTGGTTTACAATATAACTAAGGTTTTGACTTCATTTTTAAAGGAGCGTGACGGTGTACACGTTGTGACGTCTATAGGCATCATTGCCAGTTAACGCAACTCAACTCCAGATGGCTCGTGAACTCGTTAACGCATATAGTGCATAAAACATTAGCTCCTAACAGCAACCGATCATCGAAGACTCAGGATCTCGTGTTATTTCAGGGCCAGCTGGTTAAGATTAGGCCTGGTAGCCACCAGAGCTAGAATCGCCTATTACAAATCACGGGATCAGGCTTATTCAATACAAGTAATTTTTATAATAGCTACATAAAAGATCTCATAGTTAAGTTAGCAACATTGTTTGTGTCAACATTGTCTGATCAATGCGTAATGCTAAATAATATCATTCTCAGAATTTCACCATTGTTTTAGAAAATAAATTATAAGGCGTAAATTATTATGTGAAATATTTAGAACTATACTGTAGAGGCCTTAGGGCCTCGTTCCGTTGTTATTATACACTTTATGAATCTTTGTTCTCCTATTTCAGATGTATAATTTATAAATGAAAATTTGGCGATAAAATATCGTTAAAGTTAACAATATGACAACTGGCATCTATTTTGAAAAGGGTCATTAGCCCATGTCGTCTTTCAATCTCGGCAATCGATTACGGGATAAAGCAGTGTAGGGTTGGTGAGTACTCGAAATAGATGACCCGTTTGCGGTATATTATCTTGAGTTTGTCGCTTCATCATAATTTATTTAACTGAATGCTTTATATTTAAAATTATAAGCCATTAATATAAGAAATTAAATTTATTTTGATAAGTATATAGTAAGTATTTGGATTTTCCGTCTCGAATACATTATATTTCGAACTACTAATCTTATGACAAAGAGATCAACAATGAAAATGCCGCTATCCATTTCGAGACGTGACTTCTAAGTTTCAGTTTTATAGGTAGAACAACGGATATAGGAAATACGTTGCCTATTGAGGGCTCACAAAACGTCCTACCACCGTTACCACTCTATGTACCTTGCAAGTAAAATACTTAGAAATACATGAGGTTAAAATTTCAATGAATTGTGTTGGGCTCCGAACGCATGCCTATTGTTGCTGTTAGAAAATTAATGTGTTCAACCTCAAAATATATTTGCACATAAATATCCTATCGGAAAATCAAATAAGCCCATAATATGTTTGAAAATGCTGTATCTAATCGGAAAGCATTGCCGTACATCGATCGATCTGTGTCAAAGTCTTGTAATTAAATCCTTAATGTTATCTTCAGCTATATCACTTGGAACAGGTCTAAAAGGATTTTTCCGGTGTCCTACATTCTATAACAGATATTTATAACGTTAAAAGGTTTTGGTCGATCGCAAGAGCAAAATACTCGTACGCAGTATCGTTTAAAATATTTTAATTTGACATATTAATTGATTTGGTAAATTATTTTCTGTGAGACTACGAGTAAATCACATTGCCTAAAGTATATTCGGTAATTAAATTTTACATTAACTTAGTAGTAACTTAACTAATACATAGCTTTGATGTGTTAATTAAATAAATAGTTAAAAAATTAACTAATTAATATTAAATTACACCTTAACATATTTTGAGACTTTTTTTTTTAATAGATTGTTTTTGTGTAACTTAGCTACGTTGTATAATTTAGAACATTATTTATGATTTATAATAGTATGGCGATTATTCGTACCTAATTTCACAACCAGTTATTAGAAAATTGCATAAAACGAATTAACATATTTTGAGACTATTTTTTTTTTAAAGAGATTGTTTTTGTGTAACTTAGCTACTTTGTATAATTTAGAACATTATTTAAGATTTATAATAGTATGGCGATTGTTCGTACCTAATTTCACTACCAGTTATTAGAAAATTGCATAAAACGAATTAACATATTTTGAGACTATTTTTTTTTAAATAGTTTGTTTTTGTGTAACTTAGCTACGTTGTATAATTTAGAACATTATTTAAGATGTATAGTAGTATGACGATTGTTCGTACCTAATTTCACAACCAGTTATTAGAAAATTGCATAAAACGAATTACATAAATCTTTTTCTCACATCATTCTATTAGGTTCATGAGATCGTTATGGTCCAACATAATGTTATAGCCTAATGAAATGGCGTCGTTAAATGTCATAGGAATTTCGATATAAAAGCCTTTATTGTATTTCAAATGGGTAATTGACAAGACTAATCGCCGTTTACATGGTGATTGCACAACCATACATACATATACACAAACTGAATGGACTTCATTAACTACAATCAGATGACATTTAAAATCATTTTCTTTTTTAAAATTTTTATTGCCCTTGTAGGCAGATGAACATACGGCCCACCTGATGGTGAGTGGTCACTGTCGCCCATGGACTTCAGCAATGCCAGGGGCATTTAAGTAGGAAAGCGGATCCTTTTTTTTTTCGGTCTGCGGGCCGATCTTCTTGCGAGGCTTATATGTATGTGTATATGTATATGTGGGACTCGACGGTCTGCAGATGTTGAGAGCAGACCGCGGGTCCAAGAATGTTTTAGGGCCCTACCCCCCCCAACGATTCCCCTTGCATATTCTCACTCGACGTCCGATCTCCGCCCGGGGTCAGAATCGGCTCCGGCTCGGCGGCGACGCATTTGTGCGGAGAGGGATGAGTTCCCCTCTCTTGTTTCGCCACCTCCTTCTCCAAGGTGGTGGACTCGCAGAAGTCGAGCATGGCTTTCTAGGACTCATCGCTGCAGAGCATCGTAACTACGATGGTCGCCAGCGATAAGTCCAGTTATATTTGCGAGACAAGGACACGGCGCTGCCCCAGCTATGCGGGGCAATGTGCGACCGTGCGCTCGACCGTGTCCTCATCGCAGTCACAGTGGTGGCATTCCATCGTCGGTTCTCTCCGGACGAAGTTGTGCAGGTACCGGCCAAATACCCATGACCGGTGAGCGTTTGCGTTAACCGGAAGGTGAGACGCCCTCGCTCGCAGTTCGCCCATTCTGCGAGGACCGGGCGTACCGCCTCGACGGTCCAGAGACTGGTCGACGGGTTTGCTAAGCGGCGAGACCACGCCTCCAGAGGAAATTAAACTCTGGGACTAGACCGGGAAAATACTAGGAAGAAAAAGAAATGTGGATAATTCTTTTTCGTTCATTATAAGTACTATATTTTCATGTTTTAACTTCGGAAATGCCGCTATTGAATGCGAATAATAAATATACCTATAAAAAAATTGAACTAATTAGTTAGAACACAAAACATAATGTTTTTTTTTATTTATATTTGTTGCTGTTACCGTTTATTTAGATTAAAAGCCGTAAAAAATAAAATACCAAATTAATCTATATGTGTTGTTCATCTAACAAATAGCCCTGATCTTTTAACCACTTGGAGATAGCTTGGATAAAATTCCACAGCATCGTATATTTCACACAGTGGGTAATTATGAGACGGCGAGAGCTCTTAGATCGGTGACAGACGTGCTGGAGTGGGAATCTGATCTGAGCCGTATTCACACCGACCAATCTGTTCAGTATTAGTCAAGAGATTTTCATTTAGAACTGCATATTTTTCTGTTTTTCAAATACAATGTGGGAGACCTAGTTTTAAAGACATCTAAAACCTTGTTACTAAAAATTTTAGAATATTAAGTAATAAATAAGCCAATCCTCAAAAGCATCTTCTTGTGCATACGTAATACATATTTCTTAGTGTGCAGTATGCCTTATTTTATGTATGAAATCATATACGTTGACTAAGAAAACTTTATTATTACGAAAAAGCATTACCGACTTTTGCCTTATTTCTTTCCAAGCCATTCAAATAGCCATTTGTCTTTGCAAGTGTCCGTCATTCAAATGGAGGTTCTACTTTTTACGACTACCGTTGTTTGACTGACATAAATAGAACCCAATTCACATTCAGCTTTACATCCTTGAACTTAAGATATTTTACACCGACGACATTATCGTCGAAAATTAGAATTCCTTTGTCAAGTTTTGCTTTAATCTGGTTATTATTATACGCTCCAAACTTCAAAAATAGATGGGTGTTATCAAGAATACGGCGTAGGTAAAGCAGTTTGCGTGTTGAACCTTATTACCATCGTTATGGAACCATGTCATAGAGTCAAATCACGAGAAAGTCATCCATCAACATTTGGCAGGTCCTTATAATATGAGGACGCTTAGCTTCTTATGTAAAAATGTGACGTCGGCTAAAAATAAACGATCTGTCGATGTTATTTTTACCGCTGTCGATTTTATGATGTTAAGTGTTGTTATTTAATCGAATAATAAACATATTTTCTAATGGAATCTCATTATTATATTCTATTAAGATGATTTATCTTACTGCGTGATAACTAGCTCACGACCCATCTGCTAGGTACTGCTTTTTTTTCTTTTTTCTACCTAAACTGATAGCCTTGAGAGGCTATATCAGCGTAGCCTTAACTAGTAGGTGAGCTCACGGGGCTCAAACCTGATAACGTTGCTAACGCGAACCCTAGCAAGAGCCCGTGCTTCGCAGAATCTACCACCAGATCGGAAACGCGACCCATTGAGAAGATCCGGCGAGAAACTCAGTGGGCTGTGTCTGAGGGTTAATTTACTGGTCGAGTCCTTCGTCGCAAGCGACAGGTTCAAGAG